AAATAAGCATCCCAGTGTCTGCTATTTCTGTTTTCTTTAGTAGCTACGCCCATTACTATTTATAACTTCATATATACATACATTTTTCTCTCTATAAAGCTTCCCCATATAAATTTATAAAGCGTCTCCATTCAAATTACTCTGTGGTTACTGTCTCTGTACAAAGTGCCAGGCATTATTCCAAGTACTTTGCAAATATTAACTTATTCAATCCATGTCGCAACCCTTCGAGGTAGGTATGGTTATTAGTCACATTTACCTGTGGAGAAATGGAGATATTGAGCTGTTTAGAAATGTGTCCACATTGACACAGCCAGGAGGTGGTGGGACCAGATATGAATCCAGATAGCCTGGCCCCAGGGCTGGGACTTCAGCTACTGCTCTCTTCCCATCTTCTCCAGAATTGACAGACTGGATTATTTTGCACAAGTCATTTACATTCCAGAATTCTCTAGCACATTAGAGTTGGTCATTCTTTCATAGTTGCTCTCTCTTCCTTGTATTTATTGAGTACCTACTATGTGCCAGGTCTTCCCTTGTAGCTCAGATGGTAAAGAATCTGCCTGCAGATGCAGGAGACCGGGTTTGATTCTTGGGTTGGGAAGATCCGCTGGAGGAGGAAATGGCAACCCACTCCAGTATTCTTGTCTGGAGAATCCCATGGACAGAGGAGCCTGGTGGTCAACAGTCCATGGGGTTGCAAGAGTCGGACACGACTAAGTGACTAAACCACCACTATGTGCCGGCACTAGCAGAGGAGTAATGGTGTTATTGGCCAGCTTAATGGTAATTTACGAAAAGTACATGTTCTCCCAAAAGACTAGGAATAGGTAAATCTAACTCAAACTTAAGTTAAAAATAGAGTAGTTTTCTGTCCTTGACAGGAAGTCTTTTTTAAACTTATTTTCTGTAGAATTGTCTTTGGTCATGGTTGCAATCATGGTTCTAAAATGCATTTTTTTTTTTTTGCCAGAAATCTATGCACTCTCTCAGGCAAATACAGTAGACAAATTTGCCATTAAATTTATGTATTCTGTAAAAACTGTGTTTCGTTATTTCTGCTCTGAAACTTGAACTTAATAGTAACACTGAAAATGCTTCTGAGCTGTAGGAAGAAGAGTTCACAAATAAGGGGACTTCTGAGAATCAGTCACCAGGAAGAATTAGTGAGAACCTTGTGTGTTTCTCTGACAGCATGACTTAGTCCATGCTGGAGTGCCTTTGCCTGAGGGGCTGCTATAATGAAATTAAACTCTGGTTTGGGCTAATCTGCCTCCAAGGATCAAGGACCTGGTTTTTGGAGACTTAAGAATGGACAGAAAACTTCTTTAGGATTTATAAAGCTTTGCTGGGAAAAGCAAAAGTATGAAAAACAAAAATTTCTTTGAATAGTTTGCAATGAATAGTATTAAAATTGTGCCTCAAATGAAACCCTGGCTAGCAACTCTTCCTATTTTTTCTCACCAAATTAGATCAGTTAAGATGGCTCAGTACTTTCTGGAAAATGCTAGAGCAAAGTATTAAGTCATTGAGTGATTATTATTTTTTATTATTATTATCTTTCACTATGATATGGGCTTCCCCAGTGGCTCAGATGATAAAGAATCTGCCTGCAATGTGGGAGACCTGCATTCGATCCCTGGGTCAGGAAGATCCCCTGGAGGAGTGAATAGCTACCCACTCCAGTATTCTTGCCCAGAAAACTCCATGGACAGAGAAGCCTGATGGGCTACAATCTGTAGGATTGCAGAGTCAGACACAACTGAGTGACTAACACACTTGCTATTTTATAGTTTGTTTAGGAAATTTGGGAGCAAGTGACTGTTTCTTTCTCCTTTATTTTTTGGCACCTGAGGGCAGTCTGGAATCCTAGCCTTCCTGTGCTTGAATCTGAGGTATAGGCTCTGAATCTAGTGTGGATATAAAAAAAAAAAGTACCATTATATGTTTTATGGATGCTGTCGCTGGAGTGTCTGCTGAGAAATGAAAATGTTGCCATATCCAAACACAAGAGGGCACTCTAAACAGGCCATGTAGGATACAGTATTGAAAGTGAGGGCTGGAGGGAAGGAGGAAGCTTAGTCAAAGGTAGTGTTGAATTCAGGCATCCCTCTATCTCCATTGTTCCCCCTTCTTCCCTCTAAACCACCCCACCCCCCACAACCCTGCCTCCACTTTGCTCTAGGAAAAGAGCTGTTGAGGCCCTAGATTACCTCTTCACATGGTTAAATCGAGTTAAAGGCTTTCAGAGTCAGAATTCCCAAATCTCTTACTTTGGCAAAAATCTGCATGTTGCCTTTGCTCTGCTAACTTTCCCCATTGGCCACATTGGATATTGCTTCGCTAAGAATGTTAAAATGAAATCTTTTTTTCTGATGCCAGCAGAATTGAACTGCTAGTGAACTGAGCTTTACATTGGATATAGAGTGTTATTTTTTCCCTACCCACTCTCCCCCCTCCCCAGCGCTTAGTACAGCCTTTATTAAGGATGAATTTTATACAAACTTGTGTTTAACCCTCTGAACCTTGCTCAGCCCCTAGAATACGCTGGATGACTGAGCTGGAGTATGGAGAGATTCTCAAATGTAAAATTGGAATGTAATTGGTAACCCAACTGAGAGGTTTGTCTTTAACAGATGGGAGCCTTGGTGATACAATGTAGGTGAGTTTTGAAGTTATTCAATCTTCATGGGTATTAGAATGGTTTAACCTCTACTAGAGAAATGTTAAAGAAAAAAGAATCTATTCTTCTGGCTACTATGTATTAAGTAGAGAGATGAGAGTGCTCATAGCCCATGGAAGTTTTTTTTTTTTTTTTGACGTTTGACACAGTTTAAAAGAATCTCAGAATTTAACCCAGATTTCTAGAATCACACCAATGATTCCATCAGAATAGATGAAGATATATATACAGTATTTCAGTGGCCTCACACTGGCACTAGAATATTGAAATTACCATTTCAAAAAATGCACATTGGTTAATGTTTACATACCCGGGTCTACAAGAAAGGCAAAATCTAGGAAAAAACATAAAAAGGTATGAATGTTTCTTAGCATGCTTTCTTGTTTCTTTTTAGTAACTTGGAGCGTTTGTTATGTGCTTAGGAACGTGACTGCACTTTCTTAACCCTGAGAACATGATGGGTGTGTCAAGGTTGAGAGTGGGGGGTCCACCCCTGACAAAGACAGGTGTGCTCCTGACCTGGCAAACCCATTATTTTCCTGTTGCACAAATCACTTGACTCCTCTTTAAAGCTGTCACATTTATTTAAACTGACATTTTCTGTGGTGAGCCAAATCTTGGTACACAAAATTTGTGCAAAGTCCTTCTGTCTTGTAAAATATAAATCCAGGGTCTCAGATGGACTAAATGGAGATTGCAGGCCGGAACATTTATCTTTCTTATTTGAACGAACAACCCTTCCTTCCTTCCTGGAATGTGACAACATTTAAAATTCCTATTAAATCTCTGGATACACCCAGAGACCTCAGAAAGTTCTCTCCAGACAGAGCAAACATTCTCTTTGTATTTGGCAAAAGAAGAAACGGATGCTTGCGTTGTGTGCAGACTCAGCTGCTCAGGGCTGCTCTTTGGAAGAGAAGCCCACTGAACCTGGGCTGCCAGAAAAAATGTTAACATTGAGCTGAAAATAAGCATTTGCACTTGAAAGAGGCCAACACATCTGCAGGATACATGGAAGTTTGATGGAAGTGGTAGCCAAACCAAGTCACCTTGCACTCAAAGACTGGGGTACTTGGGCTACTTGGGGTGTGGGCCCCTGGTATCCATTCTGCATTCCTCAGGGAGCAGAAGCCGTTCTCCAGGTAGCCCTGCAACAACCCAACTTGGGGGTGGGCTCTGATTAGTCTATGCCCATTAGCACATCTCATTTGCTGATTGGTTGAGGGACAAGCCTACCCGCAGTCTGGGGCAATGATATGCAAGACCCTGGGACTTTTGATAAAGACACTTGCTCCTTGTGGATACTACCTGGAGAGCTTCTCTTTTCTTCTAGACCATGTGGGGGATGAACATAAATCTGAATCTTAGGATCAAGGCAGGTATTTTACCCCATTCTGAACACAAGATCAGCCTAAGGAGGAAGGGAGAGCTAAGATAATCAGGAGAAAGGAGCTAGGATCCTAATTCAGTTGGACCCAAGGCATAATTTTATGCTGGGTTTTTCAGCCACTGAATTAATTAATCATTTTCTTTAAAGTAGGCTGAGTTGAGGTTTATATTACTTGCAACCAAGGTTTCCAAACTGCCATGTCGTGTCCAAGATGATTGGGGTACACGTGCATCTGTGTATGTGTAAGGTACTGACAAGGCTATAGTAAGGAATTCTTTCTTCCAAAAGGACCCTCATTCCAAGAGAAAAGAGCATTGTTCAAAGCTCTGTGCCACAACCATTTAAGTTTTCTTGAAAGTACTACATGGTACATTTTATGATAAAGTGGGCTTCAATTAAAAAAAAAAAACCAAGCCAGGTGTCAAATGCAGCATATTTTAATTTGTTTCAAATAAAGCAATATATGTATATATATATTTTTTTCAGAAAAACACCAGATGTTAAACTCTACAAAAGCGCATGTGTCTTCAGCAGATCATGTTTGTCTGATCAATAAGAATTTTGTTTCCAACATTAACTCTCTAAAGACGATCAATGAACTGACATCACTGCTACAACATAGGTTGCTACTGAGCCTCTGATCTTTAGCCACATCTTGATTTTCCTAACAAATGAGTAAATACTGCCTGGCTAAAATGCTGCAATGTGTTGATGAGAAAAAGCGCCAACAGATCAAGCAAAGCCATGAAAGTTATGAAGCAAGCTAGAGCTGATTATTAGAATTAGTAAAAATGATTAAGAGAGGATGAGACAGCCATACAGGATTTGTGTATTCAGATTGACTCTCTTTTGGCAGCGAATTGGGTCAGCACCTCCGGCAGGGAACCGAAACTGAGTGAAAACGGCTTTTCCCCCCTCTCTCCACGCTCAGGCCACCAACGTCACAGCCGGGACCGAGAGAACCGCGGCATCTGTGGAAACTTCTATTCTGGTGGGGCAGAGGTTGCACTGGGAGACCCTGGCCACGTTGCCCCGGAAAGGCCTGGCCTCCGCGTTGTCCGCGGCGTGCTGCCTCCGCCGGGGCTTTTCCGGGTGGGCGGGGGCCTCGGGGGCCTTCGTCCCCAAGGAGGCCTCTTGGTTTTTGGCGCCGCCTTTGTTTTTGGGACGGAAGCCGTTGTGTGGCTGTCTTCTGTGTTCGTGGCGGTTGTTGCTCTTCGCCATCGGGTCGGCTTCACTGCCACTGCCCGGGGGCTTGGCAGACCCGTTTAGCCTGTTGTTGTGATACTGCGGATTAAATCTTCGTCTTTGGCTGGAAGACCCATTCTACAAAAAGAAGGAAAGAAAGAAAGAAAGGAGGTAGATATTAGATGCCAGCCCACCCCAGGTGACATCAAACCAGGGAAACCAAGCCTCTAAGTCACAGGTCACCTTTTTTTTTACACCCCAGAAGAATGTGACAACATGCAAATGAGGTCAAGCTGATAAAATCCTCAAGCTTAAAAGAATGGTGCACTGTCTTGTAAATGGAAGTTCAAGACAATTGCTGATGTTGAAAGAGAGGTTACAGAAGTGTAAGACAGACAATTCCAGAACCAGGCCAAATAAAACCCATCAAGTATAAACCTGAAATAAATCAGAAAGAAATGTAACACAGAGGCAGGGGAATGATGGTTCTCTACCGTACATATTTCTGGGACATTCTGTATAGACTATATATATGCATTCTCATGATCACATTACCAGTTTACACATCCCTAGGTCTAAAGGGTGATTATCTGTGGAGGTGGGGACAAAGCTTAGGTGTGCCGGCAGGAGTGTCCACACTCCTGTCTATATGTGCACGGCTCCCTCACAATGTGGGATGAAGCCAGAGCTGGGAAGAGACAGTATTCAGACACATGGGACACGGGCCTCTGTCTTTGTACTCCTGACCTGGGCCCCGACTTTCTAGGGGTGGGTCTGCCCTAAACCGATAGCATCCTATCACAGTGCACAAACTAAGAACTTTATATATCTGTAACTTATAATATGATACATCCAGGGAAGTAGTCCAGACAGACCCTGAGAATAGTCTTGGGACCTTTGGGAACAGAATTCCAGGATCTCAGGTATTTGGAGAACTTTCCAGAAGGGAGAACGTAGATTCTGGGTAGTCACCTCTTAGTCTCTCTCCGAAGGGAGGGCCATGGGCCATGGCTGGGGAGGGCCATGAGGGTTTACTCTAAAGCATGGGGCCCAGCACAAGGGCCTTTCTTGGGCTTAGATATATCTTCAAATTTAAACATGCCATCACCTGCAATGCTTTGCTGAAAATGATAAAAGTGAGCTGAAAAGGTATCTATGTGGTTAACATTTAACCTGGCCTCCTTTGTTTTTAAATAAATTGTGACAGAGAAATTCAAACTAAATTTTGGACTTAATTTTAGCATGGGGTTTAATAATGAGCAAGGAACAAAATCTGTGAAGGTGTATTTCAACGACAGTGAAACAGATTTGATTATGATCTTGAATCAAGGACTGTATGAAACACTCCTTGTCAAAGTGCGATTTTAAAGTTCATAAAGACATCTGGGCCTGTCAGAGTTACTAATGAGAATTCTAACAGACCAAGACCACAAAAGCCAACAGGGCATCTGTTAGAAAACCAGCATTTTGGAATGCTTAAAAAAAAAGTCTATTCAAGCTGTCTTTCTGAAAGATGATGAAAAATGTCTTTATATCATGCCCAACTTCTGAATCATCAAATCCCATTTTGTGGTCATTCTTTAATAAGCAGGGATCATGTCTCAAGAATATAATGGAGAAGCAGAAGGAGAGAAGACTGTCCTTTGGATATTTCTGTTTTTAAGGGTCATTGTAATGAGAATTAATAATGTCATTTTGAGATGCATGCTGAAAGCCCAAGAGAAGAAAGAGCAGTTTGAACCAACTTTGGCCTCTTATGGATAAATTAAAGATAAATGGGAATTAAAGGGTCTTAAAAATCATGCCAGATTTCTTCTCACTAATGGTGTCAGTAACCAGGTTCTCAATCTTGTTCCCATGTCTGTGAGTCCCTTCCATGTGTGGGCCAGTTACCAGTACCTGGGTGGCACTCAAGTCATGAGAAGCGCCATCTCACGTAGAAGGACTCTTTGCTAATGCTGTCCAGTGTGTGAAGACCACTTCCTCCACAGGGGAGAGTGCCTGTGATGGGGACCAGATGGACTCGGGGAGCTCAGGGAGGCTGGCCAGGCACATGGAGGCTCTACAGGTCAGGCTGCTGCTGGGGGCAGATGGAGCCTAGGGGTGACTAGCAGTGGCTATTTTCTTCCTGTGCAAATGGGTGGTTTCTTGCCCAGGCAAGGCACCAGGGCCTGCGGGATCCCCGGAGGCAGGGCAGGGTGGCCTCCTTGGGGCAGTTTACCTGCTTATTAGCCGGCACGGGCTGGTGAGAGCTGTCGGCGGTGCTGGGAAGGTTGCTCGCCATTTTGGGGTTTGCCGCTTTACCTTCGGAGGGCTTGTTGTGACTCGATGACTTTCGGGTAAAGTTACTCTGTTTCCCAGAGGTGGCTGCGTGAGCGCTGAGCAGCGGCAGGAGGGAGCTGCAGGGAGTTCTTGAGGAATAGTTGTTCTTTGGATGTGTAACTGCAACAAGAAGTGCTTGGTGTTAGGGGCTGTGTCTCCGTGGGCTCCCCCGGTGGCTCAGATGGTAAAGAATCTGCTTGCAGTGCAGGAGACCCAGGTTCGATGCCTGGGTTGGGAGGATCCCCTGGAGAAGGAAATGGCAACCCACTCCGGTATTCTTGCCTGGAAAATCCAATGGACAGAGGAGCCTGGGGCTACAGTTTGTGGGGTCACAAAGAGTTGGACACAACTGAGCAACTAACACTCTCACTCACTTACTCATTCAGTAACCTGTTAGGAGATGAAAAGTTGGCAGGAGCTTCACAAAAACTTAAGGGAAGACCTTTTTTAAAAAGATGTCTTCGAAAAAGCACTTAGGTTCTTGGAACCGCAAAATGTCCTCTGTGGGAATCAGTGAATAGCATAATCATTCAAGCTGGGAGATATTTGTAGGAAAAAGACAAATCTGAGCAATTTGAATATTATTCCTTAGGTTGAGAACCACCTGGGGAAGAGGGATAATGAAACCCCAAAGTACCCTCTCAGCCCTGTCCACAAATGTACTCTGCCCCTTGGGTTCCCCATTACCAAACCCATTCTTGCTGTTCTTGTCAGATCCCTAGACCAGCGGGTGCTGCAGAGATGAAGAACAACCTAGAGGTACATCCACACTTGGCCGGTCAGAGCCACAGTGTTCTGAGAGCAGGGGGATGGAGTGATGCTGGGTGTCAGGGATTTTGTCACTCTGGGTTTATCACTCCAACAAGGCCAGGCCTGCCAGCCCAAAAGATGCATCTTCTATATTCCATTAGAGCTAAATTATCATTTTTTATCAACTCTAGAACCCCACTGCAAATCTGCAACAATTCCAATGCTAATGTCAACCCAGGCTCATCAGACAGATTCCCAGCAGGGATCAGGCAGGTCTGTTCAATGTTTACTATCACCCCTCCCGCTGGTTTTTGAAAGGGGTGGTTTTGATGGGATTTCTATGTGATTATGTTGAATTGGGGCTGAGGGAATCAACTCAGGGATATATTCATGACCTTCCTGTCATAGTTCACCAGAATTTGACTGCCAGTCTGGACAGCAAGACCTTTGGATCTTAAAAAATGGTCACCAGTTTTGAAAAGCAATTTTCTCTGCTAGTTGTGTTGGCTTAGACTTAATCCCAGCATTCTTCCTGAGGATCCAGAGCATGGGTAGGGATCACAGCACATTAGAAATGGAAAGGACACGGATGCATCTGCAGGCCCTTCATCTGACAGGTCAGGTGTGATGGCATGTTGGGGGTTGTCTAAACAGGACCAGGGGATTTTAATGGCTCTTTGCTAACGATATTCAGTTTTCTAGGGGTCATTATTAGGGTCATTTTCTAGGGTTCAGTAGCTGTGGGCTTCCATGTGCTTTCAACAAAGCCCAGAAGTAGAGGGCCTTTTGAGGACTACTGTCTCCCAACACGTGAGGCTGGGTTCCAGTGTGGACACTTGGGACTTGGTGAGGGGTGCCCCCTCGGCGGCAATGGTGTGCTCTGGAGGAGGATGCTGCACTGCCCTCCCCTCCTCAGACGGTGGGGTCACTTGGCATCAGGGGCTCGCCCATTATCAAGCTGAAGTGGAAACTATGATGCGTAGTTAAATTTCCAACTATGAATCAGATAGTCTGGCTTTCTTACAAAATCTGGGGATGGAGAATGGCAAATGGGGTAGATTCTTTCATAAGAGAGGAAGTACATAGAAAAAAAAGAAAATAATTTAAAAGAAAGTCAGTCAGAAATTCAGATATTTGTCAAAGATAGGTGAACAAGATGCTCACAGCAATGTTATTTTAATGGTGAGAAGATGGAAGCAACTGAAATGGCCACAATCCAGGGACTGTTTATGTCAATTATATTTAGGTAAATTATGGGTTAAAGTATATTGACAAGGAAAAATGTCAACCATATATTGTGAAATGATAAGAGCAAATTCTCTTACTATATATGTATGTCATGTAGTATAGTAAATAAGATGCAGTATAATTAAATACACTGCATAATTTACACAATAGATTATATGTGCATAAAAGTGTGAATGAGCCTCAAAAGTAATGTCATGTTGTATTTAATACGGCTGTGTAATTTTTAGATCAAGATTGTATTTTTTATACTCAGAGAAAAAATGCAACTTCTGCTTTGAAAAAAAGAAGTGCAGTCAGATTTCCATTTCTTAGCTCACTATGAGGCTGTGGATATTGCATGTCCTTCATCTGTCCTTCCAAGCCCCTTGTGGCTGTCCTTGGAGCCACTTTAATGCAGGTTCCCACCTCCCTCAGTGGGTGGGCTGGAGCAGGGGGAAGAACCGGCCAATTTTGTTGCACGTTAACTGCTCTAATTAAGGGAGAGGCTCGGGAACTGCTGAGCAGTGCGTGTGTCACACACACACACACACACACACACACACAGCTGGGCCTTTCACGACAATAACCCATTGTTCCCAGACTTATTAGGGAGATTTGCTCTTCCCATAACAGGTCTGTGCAGAACCAGACTTTAGAAATCACAGAGACACTTGATCCGGCAATGCTTAAGAAAAGTTTGCAAAAGGTATAAACTAGTTGACCTGTTCTGTTCTGCTTAATAAATCCTGGGGATTTACTGACGGGCAGTGGCATTTGAAGACTCGAAGTTCAGATCTTGACATTTTTAGTGACTTGTGTCATGACCTTAGATCATTAAATCTCTTTAGACCTTACTTTAGCCCCCTGGGGGACCACACACCTGACATTTCCCATATTGACTCCAATAGTGCCAGGCTTACTCACACAGAATTATTTAGCAAGTATGCAGAACTCACTTTCTCCGCAGAGCATGATTTGGGCCTTGAGCTGTTCAATGTCACAGGAGAACCGGGCAGCTTTCCCGAGCTCTTCATCATATTTGCGCTCGCTGACAAAGTGCTGCGGGGAAGAGACAGAACCCCATGATGACAGAAATGACTGAGACACGCTGATCCGTTCTCTCTGCTCTCCTGCCCCTGCTGTCGGTGTGAGAGCATCACCAGGTGGGGAGTGGGGCAACTCTGTGCTGGAAGGTGCCTTTCAAGAGGGCTTGGCTTTGTCCTGGAGCACGAGCACCTTCTTGTTCTTGCGAACTCATGCAGGTCCTGTCTTTACCCTACCTGGGCTTAGACAAAACTGTGGTTCAGGCAAGATGAGTGTCTGGACTCACCTACTTAACCTTTCAGCATCCTACGCCCTCTTTCTGGCACTTTCTGTCCTGTTGTAAGTTATGGGGTTGCCTTCTGGCCGCCTTACTAACCTGCCCAACGGCCTGCTCAGCTATCATTCTTCATGAGAAAGTGTGTCAACCTTCCTAGACATCTGTCTCCATTTTTAATAGGGGACCAGGAAGTGGTAAAGAACCTGCCTACCAATGCAGGAGATGTAAAGATATGGCTTCGATCCCTGGGCTGGGAAGATCCCCTGGAGAAAGGCGTGGCAACCCACTCCAATGTTCTTGCCTGGAGAATCCCACAGACAGAGGAACCTGGTGGGCTATAGTCCACAGGGTCACAAAGAGTCAGACACGACTGAAAAAACAGCCTACTTAGTAAGTCCAAAAAGCCTTTAGTAACTAGAAACCATTATCTTGAATGGTAGAATTTCAAGTGCTGTTAAGGGAAGTGGGAAAGAGATTACTTTTTAGTTCATTTGAAATTAAGATCTATGTGCAGATGACAGAGGGAGAAATACAGAAATAACTATGACTCAGTCCCTCTGTGAGTTTACCAGGGAGTTCACCACGTGGCAAGAGAGACAGCTACCATAAAATAAAATATAAGGCAGATTGTAGTAGGTGCTTTAGGAATATGAAAGGGAAAGAAATTATTTCCTGCTGAGGGGAATAGGGAAAGAGTTATGTAAGAGGAAGCATTTGAGCTGGAACATTAAAAAAATATTGAACACTTACCAGACATGGGCCAAATTCTTAGCAGATAATCTCATTTTTATCTGATCACATTATTATGAAGTCAGTACTGTTATTAACTCTAATTTACAGATGGGGAAATGAGGTTCTAAGAATCTAAGAGAATATGTAATTTATCCAAGTTTGCAGGAGCTGGAATGTTGCATTCCAAAGCCTATGCTATCAACCATTTTACGATGAGTAGGGTTTTGATAGGTAGAAATGAAACTTGGAACATGAGTGGATTTCAATAGACCAGGAAGCTGGCAATTTCATATTCATCAAAATAAGTGTTTGTTATTTGTTCTGCCTTCCAGGATGTCCTTCTGGGTATCAGGACAGGTCTCACCAACAAGCCCCACTCTCTATTCTAATCTCCTTTGGGACCAGAGAACATCTGTGACATTAGAAATGCATCTGTGTCCCCAAGATGAAGGGTTTCTTCTACTGAAACTAATTAGCAATGGTCATAACATACTGGGGCTTCCTAGGTGGCACTAGTGCTAAAGAACCTGCCTGCCCAATGCAGGAGACACGGGTTCGATCCCTGGGTTGGGAAGATCCCCTGGAGGACGGCATGGCAACCCACTCCAGTGTTCTTGCCTGGAGAATCCCTGTGGATAGAGGAGCCTGGCAGGCTACAGTCCATGGGGTCACAAAGAGTTGGACATGACTGACGTGACTTAGTGCACATGCACACATAATGTATACTGGAGTCTGGTGGTGGATTTTGTTCTGAACAGAAGCGTAGACCTCAATGGGGGAGACCAGAATTGCTCTAACAACTCCAGTCTTAGGGTGAATGACTGAGCCGGAGAAGACAGTGGAGGCAGAAAGGCTGGTCGGGGAGGCCATTACAATCCACTGGTTGGAGGCAACAAAGACCATGAGGGCAGGTGAGATGGGAAAGACCTCTAGAACTTCTCAGAAGCTTCAGGGGAAGTCCTCATCTCCACAGGGCTCCCTTTCATGTCGAACCAGGACAGAGAGGACCAAAGAGTCACTTGCCACTTTCTACTATTCCCAACCACTTTTATGCTGGGATGGGCAGACAACCCTACTTAAAAAGCTAGCAGCAAATGTGTCTGCCTTCAATGCAGGAGACCCGGGTTCAATCTCTGGGTTGGGAAGATCCCCTGGAGAAGGAAATGGTAACCCACTCCTTGCCTGGGGTATTCTTGCCTAGAGAATTCCATGGACAGAGAAGCCTGGTGGGCTGCAGTCCGTGGGGTCACAAAGAGTTGGACACAACTGAGTGACTAACACACACAAATGTGACTTCAGAGCATCCCAGTTCCCTGGAAGTTGATCAGAAGCAGGGTTGCATGTGTATGTGCGTATGTTTAGTATACTAGAGAAAAAGAGGGTACAGAAAATTTATTAACTGTAACTTCCTATCTTGTTGCAGAGACCTTTTCTGCCTTTATGGTGACAACTTCTCCTTCTGGTAACTGTACCCCAACAAAGTTTTGAAGATTCACAGCGTTGGTGGATCTGTCAATCAAGACCTCTCTTGGCCAAATGGCGGATGTGACCCAAATGGCGGCAGTTCAGAATCTGTCTCTTTGGGATTTGAATCAAGAGGGGATGGCTCAGGGTGGTGACATCTAGAGGTCACTCCCTCGGATGGTGCCTGGAAGAGCGTCTGGTAATTACTGCTGCCTACATTCCTGCCCAGTTGTAGCCTGGAGTCTTCAGAGCACACTTTGCTTTGGGGAGCTACCTTCATATTTTTTCCAATTCTACTTGTTCCAGAGGTTAGCAGAGTCAGCCTCTGTTGCGTGCCATTGAAGAAATCCAATAAATACATATTTGTGGGTGGTATTCTTAATAAAAGGGCAAGTAAGCTAGAAAAGGATACAGAGAAGAAGTTGCCACATATTGTGCATTCTTTAGAATCCTCACTGTTATACTAGGTTCATACTTAGTCTGTGTTCACATGTGTGTGGTTTATATGCATAAATTACATATGGTGAAAATAAGAGCCCCTTCCAGATATAATTTATGGTTGAATACATTTTATTTGGGTTACTTTCAATAGCCTGTACCTCTCCTCTGTAATGCTATATCCCTTCAACCCATAGTATATTTAAATACAGTGATTTGGTGGTTCTTTACCCTTCTGTATTCTCAATTTCAACCCTGTGAAAGAGAGCGGGGTGTCTGATTTAGATCCTCAGAGAGCAGCGCTCTGTGGATGCAGAACAAACATAATAGGGATCAGAACTCTGGCTCAGGGTTCAGGCTGTGATATTTTAGAACTGACCTTAATTTCTGCCCTGAGTTCGGCCAGCTGCATCTCTGCCATCTGACTGGCTAGATCGGTAAGTCTTTTTAGTTCTTCAGCTTTCTTTTGACGAGCAGTCAAGATTTCCACTGCCAAATAAGAAGGAATAATACGTTAATGCCAAGGATTTAGACATGCTAAGTGACCTAATTTCTTGGATCAGTTTTCCATCTGCAGACTGATCACTTTGTTGCACCATGACTGTTTTCTGAATTGGTCACTGAGGTGGGCTGTCCCTGGGTGTTCAGCACCAACCACTCATTTACATATGTCTTTATCCACCAAGCGTCAAACCAAACATGGTCCTTTCTGATTCACTGTACACCCACAATCTTCTTCATTTTCCCCACTGGCATCTGATCTCACTTACTTAATTTGGACTTTCAGATTTGTGCATTACTCAGAACAACAATCTCCAAGAAAAGAAACATACAAATCCTATCTGAATGATACTGCAAAGACAGGAGTCCACTAAGCAAAAGCCATTCTTCTGTGTGTGCTGTACTATTAAATTTGAACATTGGACTCTCTGAATTTAACACATATTCATGTAGGGCAACTAGCTGTGTTATTGAAATATGACATAAAAGTTTTCCTTTATTAGCTTTCTGTGAGCTAGAAAATGCCTCTGCTTTCGCTGCCCTGCAGATTTGTTTCCATTTTGCAACCAAAGAGAAGTTGCAGACCAGAGCGTCTTGTTTTTGTTACGTGTCCACAATGGAAAAATTTCCAGAGTGGGTCAAAGCCTGCTTGAACTGAATTCACGTGCACACTGTAGCATCTGCACATAGAGAGAAGACACAGAGGCGTTTTCAGCATCACATTTCACATACTTGCCAGATGAACTAAAGGTTCAAGCAGATCTATGAGCCCACAGGTTAATTCGTGTGTGTGTGTATGTTCCCCCAAAGATCATGGAGCTCAAAGCAATCAAAGCAATGAATACAAATACATTGGGTGAGGTTCAAATAAGAAGTTTGGTTTTATAATACATAGACTTGCAGTTCTCTCATTCCAGTCACATATGAATTGCCTTCATTTCTTTTGGACAAAGATTTTGAGTTATAACAAAAGAAAAGTCCATCTAACATGATATGCACACGGAATTCACATTCCCGTCTCAGCTGAACAAAGGTCAAATGCTTTATCAGACCAGATTCACAGAGCACATGCCCAGCAAACATTGTGATTTCCCACTGTAAGAGTCCTTAATTTATAAATGTCCAAAATAGTCACTTCAAAACCCCCCAAAGATGTTCAGAATCAATCGAGAGTTAATATTTCCTGCAAACCATAAACCATTCTTCAGACAGGCTGAGAAACATCTTTTTTATGCTGATACCAATGTCAAGATGTCAGTGAAATAACTGATTTGTAACTCATAAAGCCTAATCATCTGATCATTTACTGGGATGCTCCCTGCCTCCCATTTACAATACCATGTAGCCGGGCAGAGGCTGAGCTGTGCCTGGTAGCATTTTGGGATATAGAGGAGCTGGAGAAAGCTTGTCCTGATGATGAGATGCAAAGGAATTTTCATCATGTTACTGAATGATGTCCCAGGTTACCCAGTTACACTGGAAGTCACAAAAAGGTAGCCCACTGTCACTTTTGGTGACAGGGTACACATGTTTTGTTTGGTCCACACATAGTTGTTGTTCAGTCGCTCAGTTGTATCCGATTCTTTGAGAGCCCCCATGAACTGCAGCATGCCGGGCTTTCCTGTCCTTCACTATCTCCCAGAGTTTGCTCACACTCACGTTCATTGAATCTGTGATACCATCCAGCCATCTCATCCCCTATTATCCCCTTCTCTTGTCCTCAATCTTTCCCAGCCTCAGGGTATTTTCCAATGAGTTGGCTCTTTGCATCTGGTCCACACATTACTTTTAGAAATAAATTGCCCATATTTGAAAATTAAGGTATTCCATTCAAAAGCTGGGTTTCTGGCTATTATTTCTGGCCACGGTTGGCCAAGCATTCCCATATCAAAACCACTGGCTAGAGCTGAGGAGTCGCTGCCATTTTTACGTGGAGCATGACATCCAGTGTGCGCTAGTCCACGGCTCCTTTGTCCCCACTCAGCTTGTTTGACTCACTAATGTGACCTGCCTGGCCCCTGTGGGCATTTCCAATTCTGGCAGAAACTGCACAGTTAGTTCTTTGTATTTATGATAACCAGGACCTATTACACAGTGGGTGCCCAATATGTTTGCTGAATGAAAGATTCCAATGAATGGATCAGTGCATTACTTAATAGGAATATGCAAAGAAAGGCAGAAGTTCCTTTTCTACAGGGCCACTTAAGAATATCTAGGACCCGTACCTTTGATTGGGCTTCCCAGGTAGTCCTAGTGGTAAAGATGTCCAATGCAGGAGACATAAGAGATGTGGGTTCAATCCCTGGGTGGGTAAATTCCCTGCAGGGGGTAATGGCAACCCACTCCAGTATTCCTGCCTGGAGAATCCTGTGGACAAAGGAGCCTGGCGGGCTACAGTCCATGGGTCACAAAGAGTCGGACACAGCTGAAGTGGCTTAGCATACACGCACGCATACATTTGATTAATCAATTATTTCCCATTATAATTCAACATATGGGTGGGACTAAAGCCTAGAGAATGAGAAAATGATTCTTGAGTAGGAAGATGAAATGAGGTACTTTCCTCTGGCAAAGTAAGATAAATGAGAAATTCTGAAGGTCCAGATTTGATGAGTAGGGGGTCAGTAGACCCCAAGTGACTACACAGTTAAACAGATCTGACTTTTCTTAATGGATCATTTGTGGAACTGGTGACAATTAGGGGTGATTGTTCTTTTTGATTACGTAGAATTTGGGCATTCATACCAAACAAAAGATTTGGTAGAAATAGATATAAATGGGCCCTAAAATAGGAATGCAGGTGCAAGATCACCAATAAATTCCGAGTTTATACTCATGCAAATGTGCATGGGAATGAATACTTTGCATCAGCAAGTGTTGGGATGAGTTTTACATATAGTCTCATTAACATTTCAAAGATTTCCATTATGAAAAAGCCCTAAAACTTGAGATCGAAAGCCAATATTCTCTGAGGGAGAAGTCAACATTTTCACCTCAGAAACATCAATGACAGAAACAGAAAGCAAAACCAAAACAAATCAGTTCCTAAAATTCATTGATCCTATAATTTAAAATAGAATAAGTATGCTCTGAAAGCACCATCCTTTCAGAAATGTGTAGAAGGAGACAGTTCCATATGGCTTTAGATTTTCACTGCATTCAAGACTCGATTAATATTATTTATGTAGTTTTATAAACAGTCATCTGGTATGCTGAAATCCATTCCCTCAATAGGATTTATACTTTCCTTCAAGTCTCTAGAATACATTGGAAGCTTGTTCATATTACTTGAACCATAGAAAATTTCAGGTCTTCTCAAATAATACTCCTTAGCAGAGGGTGTACTTGAAATCCTGGGGTCGAGGCGGGGGAGGTAGGGAACCAGGAGCTGGGGCAGAGGTAGCTGTTTAAATACAAAGTTGTCTTTGAAATCCTTTTGATTCCTTAAAAATCCTGGTGAATTTTGCATTTTGCTTAATGATGAAACTGTGTTCCATTAATATAATGTTTTCTTCCCATTTCTAGTAAATTCGACACTCTGGGAACATGCTTGTCTAAGGCCTCCAATTCCCTGGGCAGCCAAAGTTTGTGATCATACTACTATAGCATCTTCAGTTTCTTCATCTGTAATATGTAATAACTGTATACCCCTCACAGGATTATTATGGAACTAAATGAAATAGCCTGTGTGAACTGTTTTGACTAGTGTACTAAAAAATCCTAACTAAAAATACTATTAATAAAGTGAGATATATTTATCTACTCTCTTATTGCAGTTGCATTAGTGCTCACTAACACTGGATCCCACAGCCCATGGATACTGAATTAACTATAATGATTCACTTAACACAATGAAGTACTCACAGTCTTCTCAGCTTTGGGTTAGATGTCATGAGGAATAGAGAAGCTTACGTTATAATTAGGGAAATGTGGCTTATATCATGTGCAGGAAATGGAGAATGTGGAAAATACTCTTGAGACCATAGATAAGGAGGCTCAAAATGGTGGTTGTAAAAACAATTTGGGGTTTCCCAGGTGGCGCAGTGGTAAAGAACCTGCCTGCCAAGGCAGGAGATGCAGGAGATGCGGGTTCGATCCCTGGATCAGGAAGATCCTCTGGAAGAGAGCGTGACAACCCGCTCCAGAATTCTTGCCTGGAGAATCTCATTGACAGAGTAGCCTGGTGGGCTATGGTCGACAGGGTCGCAAGGAGCTGGACACGACTGAAGTGACTTAGCACGCACAAAGACAGTTCAGTACTTTATAGAGAGATTTAATGGTTTCTTCTCTCAGTAAAGAAGACTCACGGTTAACACACGTGTGTCACCTGAGAGAGGCCGCATAACTTACCCTCTGACCACTGTTTTCTCAGGGGGTTGAACTAACTTCTTTACTAAGATGAGCCTTCCCTCTTGGACACACTGCGTCAGGCACTGTGCCAAGTGTCTGACGTGTGTCTTCTCCTTCTATATTTACAGTAACTATTTGAGATAGACACAATTGCTATGCCCCCCTTTCCTTTTATTTTTAATTTTAATAACTTTCTATTTAGCCCAGTATATCACAATATATCATTCTTTCAACAGATCAGCCATACAGAAATTATGAATGTGATATTTACTTTTTTTTTTTTTTAAGATATTCAGTCTTTGAAAGCTAGTGTGCATTTTACACTCATAGCACATTTCAATTTAGCCTAGCCACATTTTAAGTGCTTGGTAGCCTCGTGTGTGATGTCCCCTTTTCTGATAAGGAACCTGGCTTTGAGGACATCACAGAATAGTTAAGGTCACACAGCCAGTAAATGGGTGGAACTTGGATGTGACTTTAGCTCTTGGAGTACCTTGGAGTACTTACCTTGGAGTACCTTCGCCTCCAAGGTAAGTGAACTGGCTTCCCCAGGGCAATGGGCAGCTCTACACCAGGGCAGATTCCTGAAATCAGGGGTATCCTGTGAATCCATCTTGCTGGTTCAGCTGAAAGTTCTGAGTCTGCAGTTCCAGACGTATCTGTCTGCGGTGTGTCCCACTCCCCACCAGTGCTTAGCACATACAGAGCACACAGTAATGTTCGCTGACTGAATCAGCTTTAAAAATAGGGATGCTCTCCAGAGATGCCCCACCGAATATTATTGTCCCAAGGAGGAAGAATGAACACTTGAAATCTGAGGCCTTCTGTTAACGTCTGAGAATGTGATGGGCTAGTAACTTTCTATTTTGGTGCTAGAGAAATATTTGTGTTTGCTTTGGAAGTTAGCATTTTTGTCATTAGGAAATGGGACTGAGAATAAGCTGTACCCAAGAAATAGGGAAAATCCCGTCATGGGGTAATTTACTGCTACTGAAGAAATCAACAAATTCCATAAAAAGAAAATATCTTCACAATCAAAGGGATTGTGAAAATATCTAAATATTCCACAGCTTAACCCTGGATCATATTTAGTTTTATTTAATAAAACCTGCTGTATTTTAGATTCTAAAATGTTGTTTAAAATTATTTAGAAAAGTCATCTAACAAAAATAATGATAGCTATTTTTTCATAAAATGACTACTGAATTATGGCCAAGGGCCAGGCAAGAAAGATACTAAAAGAATGAAGAATTTGGTCTGATCCTCCACTGATAAAAAAAAAAAAGCACTGGAGTCAAAAGTACAGGAATTTATCTGAAAGTTGGTTGGGGATGCAGACTGCCATTTATCCAATTTATGAGATAAGACTTGGGTAAGGATGAAGAATTTAAAATGCCTAGGAGATAAAAATTGTAAAACTAAATCCCAGCTGAAAAATACAGTCTTAGGTTTCCCATTAATAAAGCAGATGAATTTAAAAATAAAAGAAGGATCAGCATGTCCACTTGTGTTGAACTTGACTGAACAGTCCTGTCTCAGTTGAAATTTCCAACTCATGAATCTCAGCCTATCTGAGATGGCAAATCCACCCTACTGGCTGTTGAGTAACTTTACAACAGTGGAAAGGTTTAGAAATAGGTGTAAAAATAGTAAAATAAGTCAAACCCAGAGTACTAATATTTTGTGTTAAATTTAGAAAAAGTTTTGTAATGATCAAGACTGTCTATGTGTGTTCATTATTTTATATATAGAATATTCTGTATCTTAAGCAATCTCACTTGTGATTTCAGTTTAAAATATTTCTTTTGAGGTGTTAAGTTGGCAGGTGTCAGTGAATTTGACTGAGTTTGTACACAGAATTGGAGTGTTTTAAGAGAATTTCATTTAGTACATCTCTGAAAGTGAAAGTGTTAGCTGCTCAGTGATGTCTCACTCTTTGCAACCCCATGGACTGCAGCCCACCAGGCTCCTCTGTCTGTGGAATTCTCCAGGCAAGAATACTGGAGTGTGTTCCCATTCCCTTCTCCAGGGGACCTTCTTAACCCAGGAATTGAACCCAGGTCTTCTGCACTGCAGGCAGATTCTTTACCATTTGAGTCACCAGGGAATTATTAATCTTATACGTGTTGCTTAAGAGCTTGGAATACTTTGCTGGTTAGGTTTGTGAGTTTGCCTTCTCAGGTTTCTGAAGTGCTTGAAAAAATAAGCTATATTAAATTTACAAATGTAATTAAAAATATTAAGGGGAATTGAAGTAACTTTCAAATAGAACAAATTTTTTAGAGGAACCTAATTTGGTAAACTTGAGTGAGTTGAAAGAACAAGTGAAAAGGACTGTATAAGTAAAATAGCAATATTTGTAAACTATAAAGCTTAAAAACTTATATTTTAAAAATTTAATACTAAATTCATTATCATTTTAAACCCAGTTAACTATAAGTAGTCCTATTTAGACACAAAAGTCTCCTGGACTTTAAATAAACCCAAGTGACACCTATTTTTTGCTGCATGCATATTCTGCCTTCTGACTTAGATGGTAAAGAATCTGCCTGCAATGCAGCAGTCCTGGGTTCAATCCCTGGGCCAGGAAGATCCCCTCGAGATGGGAATGGCTACCCACTCCAGTATTCTTGCCTGGAGAATTCCATGGACAGAGAAGCCTGATGGGCTTGACTCAGACATGACTGAGTGACGAATACTTTCACTTTTATTCAGAATCTGTATCACTGTCATCTGACCTATTGATTACTTCTGATTGGGAAGCTCCTAATCGAACAACCATGTGTCTACTTACTGGCTTCTTCTTTAACTTTATCCATTTCAGCCATTAATGAAACTTCTTTGTCAATGATGCTGGGGGGAAAAAAAACAAAAGCAAAGAATGCTTAATCAAAAATAAACTTTTAATAGGCACAGGAAATAAAAAAAATTGTTTTCATTAAACAAAATACAAGATTACCATAAATATTTCTAAGTTACAATGCCAGCAGCAGGCTCTGCCTTTCCAAAAATGAGGCAACATGGAAGGGATGCCCCCAGTGTTACAAAGTGACATCTGCTGATTAAATCATTGTCAGCAAATCTAAAAACACAAGCCTTGTCAGACTTTCAGAATTGCACTGCTTTGAATTTCAATTTGGGAGTATTTTTGCCCTATGCATTTTCAAAGTTCCAAAACAATATAATAAGTATCTGAAAAGCTGGCACTCAGGTTATCAAGGCCTGTAATTCTCAAATGTCTCCATGGTTGACTCTCCCAGAATTGGTCTGGGAGGCAGAGAGGGGGCCCAGTTTTGATGCAGAGGGTCCCAGGAAACATGGGTCTATGTCAATCCATCCACATGTTCTGTATTGAGTCCATGCTTTCTTGTTCACCCAAATAAGCATTTCAAGGTCAAATTAACTTTTTCCATTATATTTATTTATTGGTTAGTCCTTTGAAAAGGTATGATCTGGAAAAGTAATAATTATCTGTCCAAAAGTTCCTTTCTCATCCTAACTCCTTGGTCCCCTTCCAGAATCAACACATCACAAATCACTTATATATCTTCTCACAGATTTTTATGTGTATATAAGCAGAGATGCCAGATTTTTAAAGTTTTCATCTCAACCATAAATATTTCAATATAGATAGCTCAAAGATAAAAACTGTGGGGGGATGTAACCACAGTATTACAATACCTAAAAACATTAACAATAATTTAATGTTATCAGATATATACTCAGTATTCAAAATTTCCTAATTGCCCCATACATTTTTTTTTTTAACTATTTGAACCAGGATATAAATGAGGCCTGTTCATGACAATTGGTTGACTGTCTCCTATATCCATTTTAATCTATACATTTCCTCTTATTTCTCGCTTTATTTTTTTTCCTTTGCAATTCATTTGTTAAAAAACCAGGCTATGTGTCCTGTAGAGTTAGTCAAGGTCTTAATTTTGCAGACTGCACGTCCATGGTATTATTTAACCCAATCTTTTCTATTTTCTATAAATTTGCTATGATATAGAAATTTGATTAAATTCAGATTTGTTTCTTATTTCAGGAGAAATTACTCTATGTTATATACTTCTCTCAGCAGACACGTAACAGGATACACTTATAAATATTCCTCTTGAAAAAAGAAATAAAACCTGAATGTGCTCAGATTTCTACATTTCAAAATAAATGTAAAGGAAATACAATGAACATCTCTAATGATTATTATACTAGTAGCTATTGGTGGTCATTGCCTAGATCAACAGGATTTGAAAAATGAGAATATTTGAATTCTCTCAATCTTTCATTTATTTATTGAAAACTTCCCTAAAGAGAAACCTTCCTTTACCAACTATTCGGTTATCATGAAGTACGTTTGCATGGATGAGTCAGGATAAATGCTCGGTTCTCTCCTTTTATTTATCAGTTTTCAAAACAAGACTTGGTTCCTGCAAAAGTAATCAATGAGATGATTTTTTTTTTTTTTGCTGGTTTGTGTAGTTTAATTACAAACTCATATTTAATGTGCTTCAATACACTTCAGTTATTATCCTTATTACTTTATTATACTCAGATTTTTCCAACAGATATACTCTTTGTTCTCCATCAGATGCACTTTTAAAATTTAAAGCGTGTTGAAAGTCTATTTCCCCCTAAGAGAAAATATTGTGTAGTATTTGTCAAGGTAGGAAGTGGTTCCTGGGATGTATCTATGTCTTAAGAGTTTAGGGCTCCTCAACCAATGATAGAGCCTAAACTCTTGGAGAGTAAGGACTGTTGGCTGAAGAGTTTGGCTCTTTCCAACCAGGAAATCCTAATGGAAAGAGCTGACATGAACAAGGAATGGCAAGTTCTCTAGAGCTGGGCTTGAAGCCTAAACCATCAAGCGCAGACACGTGGCTTAAGGTCACGGGCTGTGACCACTTTGGTGTAATTAGCATATTAGGAGGACTGTGCCTAGTTTATTGACATTAAGTACATGTAATTTCAATGTGTTCTAAATATAGGAAATGCATGATGCAGAAAGATGGACAGTGAGAAGAAAGTCTTAATCCCATCTCTGTCCCAATTTACTCAGTCCCCGCGCCTGCAACTATCTATTTGCTACCAGTTTCTTGCATTTCTTTCTGGAGATCATACACCAGCATATGTTCATGAATTGAATGAAATGCTGGGTTATGTCAATAGGCTTGTACTCCTGCAATTATCAGGTATATTTAGCTTTCCTGTAAAGTTCACAAATGCAACTACATAGAGGCCAAGTGAATGGAGTGGGCAATTCTATGCTAGTTTAGGAAAACAAGGGTAATGGATAAGCTGGTAGGGAGCTTAGGTGAGAACCTAGCGATCTGGAGTCTGGAGCCCAAATGACGACAACACACCAAGCTATTCTGCCTGAGAAAATGGTTTGAATTTTTATAGTCAATCCTGAAGGAAATCAACCCTGAATATTCATTGGAAGGACTGATGCTGAAGATGAAGCTCCAATACTTTGGCCGCCTGATGTGAAGAGCCAACTCACTGGAAATGACCCTGATGCTGGGAAAGATTGAGGGCAAGAGGAGAAGGGGACGACAGAGGATGAGATGGTTGGAAAGCATCACTGACTCCATGACCATGAGTTTGAGCAAACTCTGCGAGATAATGAAGGACAGGGAAGCCTGGTGTGCTGCAGTCCACGGGGTCGCAGAGTCAGACACAACTTAACACAGAAAGGGAGATGAAAAGAGAGAGAGCCAGCCAGGGCGGTGGGCGCTGTGTAAGGGTGAAGAGGCTGGGAGAAATCACTGGTAGTGAGGAATGCAAAGGAGCTTCCAGAAGCCGGAGGACCACATGTGCTACCGTGAGGCGTGTGAGGTCGCCTCGCTCGGGGCATCCAGACCTTCTCACTTGGTGTGAACAGTCTGTGTGGGTGTGGACACACACACCCCCCACAGACCCTCACACACACACAGACTCAGGAAGCGGCCGAGTTTCAAGTCCACATCAGTGCAGGGCTGAGGAGGTGGGAAGGGGTCACAGCCTGAAGGCAGAGTGCCGGTGAGAAGGCGGGGGTCTGGCCCTCATCCCTGAACCAACACAAGTCTCAGGGCTTATGCCTTTCTGCAGACATGGAACTGGTCCAGGGGGCTGGGACCCTGCTGACTTTGGGGCTGCAGGTCACGTGAGACGCTCTATTCTCTTCATCACACAGTGAAGCTGGGCTGCCCAGATGGGGTGGCTACACGGGATATGCCACAAAGAGCACGAGGAAACTCCAGTCTCTGGAGAGACTGACACATCACTCAGCCACTGGACAGATATGAGCTGAGGGTGGGGCTGGGGGTACAGCTACGGATTAAAAAATAACAGATTCCTGCCAGCCTTGTGGAGCCTACATTCTTTTAGGGGAGCTGAGAGGAAGAAGGTGAGAGGACCTGTTGAGCTTACGGGGGAAACAGGGAGACACAAAAGGAAAGAGAAGAAAATGACAATGGTGGGAAGAGGAGCTTAGGATTCCCCACCCTCCATCAACCAGAAGGCTATGATTAGAGTCTCCTGGTTCTGAGATCATGCAAGGAGCACGTGATACCAGATGAGGTGTCTTTAGATTTCAAGGGACAGGACGGGGCAGACTGCAGTCAGAATGCCACAACAGCCTCCACAATCCCCATGGCCTCAGTCCCCAAACAGGACCACGGACCCTGTGGCGTGTCCATGTGATGGGTGAGGAAGATGGTGTAGGAAGGGGCCTTTGCTAATTTCTTTGTCAGCTATAAGAGCACAGCTAATTTTTGTTGATTAAACTTGTTAACATAATTATGGGCTCAGAGAGTTTACAAGATGGACATTTGGGGTATAATGTGTATCCCTAGGTCTAACATGTATTAAACAAAGCTGGACATTCACACTACGGTTAGTTCAGGCCTCCTGGGCTAGCAACAGGAGGGATGAAGGCTACACACAATAAATCGTTAATCTGTTTAATGCCCACTGGAGGATGTGAAAAGCCTGTGAAGTTGGCATCAAACTATGCCTCCACTCCTCTGGGTATTTCAACAAAAAGACTGTCCTCAAGCATCTTAGTAATTCAAGCACTGCTATGTATGATTGCTTTCAAAACTCATGCATAAAGGCGAGCCAAGGGATCTCTGCTGCGTCAGGACCCTGCGCAGAATATATGAGCTGGATGCAAACCAGGATTAAGGTGCTGGCTCCAGGCAGCGCCCCAGGACCTCTCCTGTGAGAATCAGTAAGGTGCACCTGAGAATTCCGCTGTATTCTTCTGTCCTTTCAAGGCAGCAGGTTTCTGGAAGGGAAGGCCTCGGGAAGAGGATGTGGAAGTTGAAGAGGAGGATGGGACGGTGGAGGCTGGCCAGTTCTCTGGCAGGCTGCCAGATAGCAAGGAGAAAGCATCATAGCACGCTGAGAGCCAGTTCAAAGGAAGGTCCGGGCGGAAAGGCCGTGTCTAACACCTTTATGGCTGCTCCGTGAGGCTTGCAGGATCTTAGGTCCCCGAGCAAGGATCGAACCCGTGCCCTCAGCAGCAAGATCGTAGAGTCCTAACCACTGGACCACCAGGGAACTCCCCACGCCTAACACCTTCTAAATGCCCCCAGTACCTGGTGTCACGTCCAACTTTCTGAGCAATTTCATTAGTGCCATTCACGAGTCCCACGACAATTTCTTAAGAGACACAAGGACAGAGGCACACAGTGATGGGAAACAGCTCTGTGGGCTGGGCAGAGGCGGAGGGCGCTGGGCAAAACCCAGGAGGGAGCTAGGAGACAGGGAGGGGAGGGAGAGGGGTGGCACTGTACAGTTGAGAAGCCGCAGAAAAATCAGTGTCACTGTCCCATCCCTGCTGCAGAAGCAGAAAGGTCTCATGTGGG